GATCACCCGCGCGAGTCAGGAGGTGAGGCTGAGGAGCCTGACGCTGAGAGAGGCCCGGAAGGAGAAGACACAAAACCGGGCCTTCTCGGCGGTGGCTCCTCGCCTCTGGAACAATCTCCCTCCGGCGATTCGCGCGGCCCCCACCCTGGGCCCCTTTAAAACCCAATTAAAAACATGGCTGTTTATTCAGGCCTTCCCCCCAGCCAACTCTTGATTTTTTTCTTACTTTTCCTTTTTATCTTTACTGCTGTTCTTGTTTGATTATTATGTATTTGTCTATGTTTTATTATTTGATTTTATATTTGGAAGCCGCCTAGAGTGGTCCGGTGGGCCAGATAGGCGGGGTATAAATTAAATAAATAAATAAAATAAAATAAATTAATGTTGTAAGCCGCTTTGGATCCCTTGTTGGGAGAAATGCGGCATATAAATAAAACTATTACTACTACTACTACTACTACTACTACTACTACTACTGCTACTGTTAGTGGCAGTGGCAGTAGCAGTAGCAGTAGCAGTAGTAGTAGTAGTAATAGGCTGAATTTGGGCCTAACAGAAACAAGAGAACTATGCTAATGTTGAATCAAAACAGAATAAATACACTGAAATACATTTTGATAAAAGAGCAAATTAATACACTTTACCAGAGCTTCATAATTTAAGTGCCTTTCTGAGAGACTTAAGTATAAAGCAATTAGTATTTGTTAAACTGCAAGGTATCTCTACACTGATATCTCTCAAGAAATTCATGATTAATCAAAATCTCATGAAATTTGATGGAAAAGTAGATCTTCCACAGACATTCACTGATGGTGAGCAGGAATATGGCAAAAAATGTAATTGCTCTAAATGGATTGATTCATCACACCTCCTCCTTTTCCTTCAGCACTATGCTGCTAAAAAAAACAGCTAGCAAAAGAAATATATTTACAGATTGATCAAATTCTCAAAATGTTTCAGAAGCAATAAGCATCAGCAAGCTTTGATTGTGCTGTTTTACAATAAAAATCCTAAGTTAAAATGTGCTTTTCATTGCACGGTGAATTACCAATAAAAGTCTTCCCATTTAACACGCAGAAACACAAAATACTGATATTTGTTCTTGTAACCATTTAATTTGGCTCATGTGTAATTCATGTAAGCACAGACAGATCAAATTTAACTCTACTCCCACTAAATGGAAAATTCCATTACGCTGATTTGAGAGAATTCAAAATGCAATTATAATTCTTTACAACCCAGAGCTGTATCTTTTAAAACAAAAGGGGCAAAGCTGAACATACTCTCAATGCTTAAAAATATTTCAGCCCCCTTGGATCAACAAAGAACTGCTGCATTAGTCTGCATATGCAGGTGTACCGTGTCCTTAGAAGTTCAGTGTAATCAGAAGCAACCAGTTTCTGGCCACCAGGCAAGGCAAACAGGCATGCTTCTGAGTACGCTCAAGAAATATGAGACAAATTCATATAAGAAAGCAGAAAATGAAGCCCATAGTGCTTAAGGTTAAACTGGCCATTTCGGTTCAATCCAAAACCATACAGTACATGACTTTCTGATTCTCTTATATCAGAAGGGAGATAAGCCAACAAATCATTGGTATCTTGTTTTATTTTCCTTTTCCCCCACCTCTCTATTATATTTATGCCCCTGTCTTACTCAAGGCCTGTATCAGTCTCTCATCAAAGAGTTCAGCCAGACATATACCTTACATTCAGCAATGCTTGCAGCATCAGATGGATCCTCCACAAATAAATTTTCATCAAAGATAACACACAACAGGACCTGCATGTCTTAACCAACTACAGTCTTAAAGTGGGGCAGACAAATGAAAAACACCCTTAACACTTTTCTTTAAGATTTAATATACAAATGGTATAAAATCAGGTTTCATTCAGTTTCCAAAAATATATTGACTTTTCTCAGGCAAACACAATACAGTTGTGCCCCGCTAGACGCTTAGCCCACATGACGTCGAAATCGCAAAACAATGGTTCCTATGGGGAAATCCATTTTATGTTGATTAAGTCCCTGCTTCGCGAACTGTTTGTTTGCTACACGATGCTTTTTCCAGTTCTGCAAAATGGCTTCCCTTCGCAAAATGGCTGTTTTCCGGATCCCTGCTTCGGAAGACAGCGATTTTAAACAGCTGATCGGCGGTTCTCTATGGGCAATCTTCGCTGGACAATAAGGTATTTCCCCATTGGAACACATTAACCGGTTTTCAATGCATTCCAATGTTTTTGGTTTTTGTTTTTTTTTTTTGCTTGATGACTATTTCGCTTAACAGTGATTTTCCTGGAATGAATTATCGTCATCAAGGGGGGCACCACTGTACTATGAAAAATTTTTCATTTACTCAGCATATCGTCGTCAAGCAGGGCACCATTGTACTATGAAAAACATTTCATTTGCTCAGCTGCTTTGGACAAACCAATATAATGAATGAATAACTGACAACCAACACTGAATTAACAAAACCTTAACACTAAAGCAACATGGAACACCTGTTTACTAATCAGCATATTCCAAAGTGAAATATGCAACTTACCTCAATATCAATGGAACAAAAGGAGCCATACTAAGGGCAGAACACATGCCGTCCATTGGTGATGGATACAGTTTACTCAAGATCAAAAGCAGAAGGAACAAGCTTGGATGGAGCTTCAACTCACCGCTTTTGCTGTATTAAAAAAATATGAAGCTGTTAAAAGTATCCCTAACGCAAAGGAAAGATAAGAAATGAAGTTTGTATATGAAGCTGTTAAAAGTATCCCTAACGCATGGATTCCTAACCTGTGGATCGCAACCGCAAAGGTGCTGCAAAGTGTTTTCTGAGGGGTCGCCCCAGTTATTTTTAGTTGCAATTATTTTTATAGGAAATTTCATCAGAAAGGTTTTTAACATTTATTTATTTCAATATGGCTACATTACAATAGTCAAAAGGATTCTCTTGGGGAACTTTCATAGAGGGACGCAAGGACCTATGACATACCAAAGACACCGTTAAAAATTCCTTTTTTTCTCCTTTTTTTCTTTCTTTTCTTTCTCTTTCCTTTGCAAATAGGGTGGGGCGGGAAGTCACAGGTTATTTGGCTGTTACAAAAGGGAATCAAGACTTGAAAAAGGTTGGGAAACACTGCCCTAATGCTGTCTCCTTAAAAATTGACCTATCTTTTGCTATATCACCTTGATGCTAAGAGGCAGTAAATCAATTTGTTTTAATGTTATTTAATTTTTTTTAAAAAACTCTTCTTCATACAACAAAGGTCTCAGCTGCTCATAATAATCTTTCAAATTTTAAAGATCTTTTCAAGCAGCTATCAAAAGGTAATGGCATTATATTCAAGTGATTAACATTACTGGTCACTTACAAGATCTGAATTTTGCTTTTTTTTAAGATTCTGCAATGGATATGAAAAGGAAAGCTAAGAAATGAAGTTTGTCGTTGCAAATTACCAAAAAGGAGATATTACAAAGAGGTTCTCAGATATGTAAACTATATCAGACTATAAAGGCAGTATTGAAGAGGAAGGCACGGGGGCAATAGGAAGTCAGTCCCTCATAGTTCTTCACTTCTGCATGTTTTTAGTACAAAAATGAAGGAACACAATCAGATCTCCGTGTTTCTTCAGCTACTCAGAAACTATGCAACAGTGAACAAGTGTTTTGAGGATAGTTTCAGGATGGCTGGGAGTACGCAACTTAAAAGTTTAACCCACGTAGGACTGAAGTACTTCATAGGAATATTGCTCTCTATAGAGAGGGGCGGCAAGCCACTGAAGGTTTGCCCCTGCCAGTAGCTGCCCTCCCCTGTTTTCATCTCCTCGAGACCTTAGCAGGTCGTACAGTCCACTTTTGAAAATGGGTTATTTTGGAACTAAAACAAACGCAGTGGGAAGTAGTTTTGATGGGGCCAGTCATTCCCCGGGAGCCTGTATGGACCACAATTTTAATGATTCCATTCCGTAAACTGGCTTGGGAAGACCAGGATCTTGAAAGGACGGGAAAAAATGGATTAGATAAATAAAAATAAACAAACACACTAGAGAAAACTGAATTGCAAAATGATGGGTGTGTGAGAAAAGGAATGACTAATGGGTAGACTGCTATCGCACAAATTAATATGATGTTGGCTTGGATAATTTTGTATAATTTGATTTTGGCTATGACAATAAAGAAACTTATTAAAGAAAACAGATCCCTCTCTGTAATGGATAAATAATGGTTGAAAGACTTTGAATTCAGACTTCTGTTTTTCTGTGTGCAGAAAATATATGGATAACCAAAATGTGTGGACTGCTTCCTTTAAAACAAATAGTTACAGCAGTTATTCTATCAATCTATCCTGTGTCCTAATACTGAAAGCCAAACAGTGGTGGGTAGTAATGTTTTTTTCTTACCTGTCCATTGTGCTGGCTACAAGTTCCAATTGGCTGAGCAAGAAGGGATAAAGATCTGGAAAACGTGTGAAAAACTCCCTCCCTGTCATTCTGCAGAAAAGACAAAAAAAATCATTTAGTGATACTTTCAAGCCTGGGTATATGTCTTGTTCTCCACTGGGTACAATTCAAATAATTTCATCTCCTGTGCTAAACATCAGAAGGCAGACAAGCATCTTGGGAGGAAAAATCCCATGATTTTAAAAAACACTTATTAAAATCGAACTTTTAATGTATGTTTTTAAAGGTTGACATAAACATGTTTATTCTGTAATGAAGCTATCATTTCTGTGTTGGAATACAGTCGTGCCCGCTTTACAATTACCCCGTTTAACGACGAATCCGCTTGACGGTGAGGTTTGAATGGGTTTTTTTCCGCTTTGTGATGATCGGTTCCCTGCTTTGGGAACCGATTTTCGCTTTACGACGATCAAAAACAGCGGATCGTCGGGTTTCAAAATGGCCACTGGGTGTACAAAATGGGCCCCCACTGTGCTTAGGGATGGATTCCTCACTGCACAGGCACCGAAAATGGCCGCCCCTATGGAGCATCTTCGCTGGACGATGAATTTTCAGTCCATTGGAACACACTGAATGGGTTTCAATGCATTTCAATGGGTTTTTTTATTTCGCTTTACGACGTTTTCGCTCTACAGTGATTTCGCTGGAACAAGTTAACATCGTAAAACGAGGCACCACTGTATGGCCATTTACTACCATGTGAAACAAATATATGCACAATCTCACCATGATTACAAAGAGCAGAACATCTGGTATGGAATGGAAGTGATCCATTTGACGCTTTCATTTACCAGTGGTTCCCAACCTTGGGTAAACCGGGTGTTCTTTGACTTCAGTTCCCAGAAACCTTCACCACCAGCAGTGTTGACCAGGATTTCTGGGAATGCCGTCCAAGAACACCTGGGTTACCCAAGATTGGGAACCTATGGAATGAATGGGTTGGAAAGTTTGTGGGCAATCAAATATTGCTATACTTCAATTCTATGTGTTAACCCACACTACGAGCATCATGTTCCATGCACCTGAAGGTGATGGCTACCCCGTGAAAGTTCATTCCAAACAACACTTGTCAGTCTTACAGATGCCAAAAGAAGCATTGTTGTTTTTGCTGCAACACACTGACAAAACACCTTGGAAACCTCCTGACCATTCTTTGTGCAAACTAGGCCAAAACTTTTCATCAGACTGAAACTAGAAATGGAGTGAACCACCAAAATGGAGGTTCATTGTGGTTTGTGGTCCGTCAAAGTTGACGAACCAGTAAATCATGAATTTTCTTCCCATTAACTGATGCACCACAAATCTGTTTGTTGGGGTTTTTTGCAAAAAAAAACTGAGCCCCCCACCCCCACAACCTGTACCCCTGCTCCCTTCCCATTGCCCTCACTGCTTTCCTACCTTGGCTACCGCAATCCATGCCTGCAATCTGCACTCCTGCTGCTGCTATTCACTGTACCCTGTGCCACCACAGCCTCCAACTACTGGTGTGGCCTCCACCACCATGGCCTGCCTTACAGGAAACCGGTCTGCCCTTTGCAAAGATGGCAGCTGTGGCTTCCATGCCCTAAGGTAATCTGCAGCCACCATCTTTGCAAAGGGCAGCCAGTGTCCCTTATGGCAGGCTGCAGCAGCAAAGGCCACCACAGCAGACTGCAATGGATGGTGTCAACACGGGGCGGCAGTGGATGGTGGTGGATGGCAGCAGCTAAAGAAGGGAGAGGAACGAGACAGGGGACTGGCTGTGGGGATGGCTGGCTGCCTATGGGCTTGCCTATCTACTGTTTGGTGAGCCCACAGGCAGAGTGGGAAGGCCATAGGCAGAGAGGGAAGGTTAGCCATTCCCTCTCTTCCTATGGGGGGCAAATAAAAATGGAGCAGTATTTGTCCCTTTGTGTTCATCGGGGTCTCTGGAATTAACAAATAAAAAGGGTTGAATATTTTAAAAATCAGCTATTTTAACATATATTGTGATTCGTATTTTTTCATCCCCGTGTCTAACTGAAACAGTTGTAAGAAATGCAATACAGTTCATACGCAATAAAAATGACAGTAGAAAGTATATCCTTACATGCAAAGTAAGGCTTTCAAAAAAATCAAACAGAAGGGAACAGAAGTTTGCAATCCAACCACGTCTTCTCAGATCATCCAATATTTTATTCACAATAGCATGAGCAGACAAAATGTATCTTGTGGGCTCCATGCAGCTCCCACTGCTTCCACTCCAAGCCACATGTTCAAGAATTTTTTAAAAAACTTAGAAATGATTTCTGGTAAGTTCAGATTTGAAAAAAGGTCTAATCCACATTGAGCTCAAATAGGTTCCTATGAATGCCGTAGGTGCAAAGGGGCTGGTGATTAGCAACACTTGAAGATCTGGAAGGGAGTATATATGGCACCCAGTCTGTTGAAAGTTGTCCGTCCTGCACTACAATGCTTTCCAGTTAGTAAAATAGCTGATTTTTCCAATGGAAAAAAGATAATCAAGTAGCATTTTAAATAGGTTGTTAGGCAAAATGCTACTTGAAGTAGCTTTGCTACAAACAATTTGGACTGCAACAATCTGGAATTACTACAGAAACAGAGACCACATAAAGATGAGAAATTGATGGAGCAAGCTGTCACTGATAATGTCCAGATGTGCTTTTTGGCTCCAGGACCACATTGAATTAAAGCCTAGAAAACATTTATATGTTGACTGACTTAGATAGTTAAAAGATTAGCTCTGCTCCAAAATGTGTTTATACGACTGCTTAAGATTACTTTTATCATTTCCATCTCAGTTCTCATTATTGTTTCTCCATGTTTTCCTTCTCCACATATTGGACGCCATTTAAAATGCTTGATATTTCAAACTTAGTACCAAACTCTAAGCAGCAATGGTTAGTGTTGAGAGTGCTAATCATGCATTTGTTATTTCAGCATGGCCAAAAATATTCATAAAGTATCAAAGAAAACTTCATTTAAGTTCCAACAGAATATCCTGAGTCTTTCAAAATATCCACAGAATGTATGCGTGAGTCAGAAGGCGAGTCAGGGTCACCACGCGCTGGAGTGCTGTCCATTCCCAGCAGAGAGACAGAAAGTGGAGGGAAATGTGGACCCCAGATGACTCTGGAGAAGGTCCCCGAGGAGTTTCTACCCGAGGCTGAAGAGGAGGCATTAGCTCAAGACATGAGGGGGATGGAAGTAGGAGAAGAACAGTTGAAAGAGGTGGGAAAGGGTAGGAGAAAGTGGGAAGAGATAGAAGCAGGAAAGGGGGAGGTAGTAGAGCAGAGGGAAGCATTGCCTCCAGGTTGAGAATGGATCTGGATGCAAGATCTGTGGACCCAGAAGTAGAAAAGATTGAGAGTACCTAGAGAGGATGCAGATCATAGAAGAAGATCAGTGATTCTCCCTCCCAACAATCCTATTGGGGGGAAGCTGAAGCCAGGGAGTGGAGAAGGAAGAGAAGAGAGAGAGAAGGCAGAGGAAGACAGACATAAGAGGAGTGAATAGCGAGTTCAGGAGATGAGGAAGATGGAGGAGTGGAGAAGGTCTGGGAAACGCTGGAACCAGGGAGGGGTCCCAAGTGGGAAGATTTCCTTTGAGACGTAGCTGTGCCCCTGTTGCCTGTACCGATAGGCACAACGTTAAAGGAGTGGACACTACCAGAACTTCCAGGACCCTGGAATTCCAGTTATGGCAACCCCTTTGTTGTAGAAGAATGGAAGGTCCTTGCCGCCCCGTTGGAGGAAGGAGACAGAGACTTTACGTCAATTCAGTACAATGGTTTATTTGTTAATATAAAAATAAATGTTCCACTGTTATCTAAGCAAACATTGTCTGGTGAAGTTATTGGTGAAAGAGAAGAACTTCAGTCACATAATATCGAACCCTCAAAGTATGCAACAATAAATTTTGGGCCTGAGCTGTGCCCTTATGTTACTAGAAAGCTACACTGCTAAATGTTCAGAAAACGCATCAAAGACTGTGAAAGGCAATCTTCATACTGACAGAGCAGACCTGTGTATCCAGATGTTCAAAAAGATTTCAACAAAGTTCCTAACCAAAGACGCCTGAGGAAACTGAGGAGTCATGGAATATCAGGACTCATTCAAGATGAATGACATGTAAATAGTAGTGATCAAAACAAAATGCTGAACTGAACATGGGGATTTACCTGAGAAAGGGTAGCCAGTGGTCTCTCAAGGATGTGCACCAAGAGCACTACTCTTAACAAAATTTTTAGAATTTAAAAAAAAAAACTCTTCCTCTCCACAATCATGGAAGCCATTTTAGTAAAGGAGAGGGTCTGCAGTGGTAAGTACAAAGGTGTATCTCAACAAAATAGAAGCCACACAGAGTCGAATTTCAGTTTTACTAATATTGGACTGAGAGAAGTAGAATTTCCAACAGTAACTAGGAATATCTCTATTCATGCACAACAGAATGGAATGATCCATTTCCATTGTCTCATTTTGGACACCTCAACCATGACAAAATGGAGAAAAAGCTGGACATAGGGATCAGTGAATAAAAGGGTCTCATCTCAACATAGTCCTGCAGTTCCTTGGAGAAGCACCATGAATCTTCCAGATAAGTAGACACATGAAGTTTTTCTGTTAGACTGGAAATGGTGAGACTGTGAGAAGTTTCTTGACTAGAACCACACAGTCTAAAAGCATTATAGCCTTCAAAAGAGAATGAAGGAATAAAGCAAGAACTTAGATCAGGCTGGATGAAACTACAGCCCTACTAACCATTATGTTGTGACATTGTAATGTGATACTTAAGGGAATGAGTCCTATGTAGAACTCACTAAAATATGTGGTGGTAAAAAAAGAAAGCTAGGCATCAGTACAAAAGAATCTCTCAGCTTGCTTGGACTTGCCTGCAACTTAAATAAAATGACACACTTCCTAATGCTGGAGGGAAAACACACACAAGCACACAGTGTTGTATTAAGTCTACTCATCTGCCTTGAATCTCTTATCATACAAAGTTCATGACTTCCAGAACTACAAGAGATGAAGGTCTCCAGGACAGAAGAA